TAGTCGGCAATCTTCCGTTTTGGTATAGAGTGGGACAGGGAGGGGGTGATGCTACTGTAGTCGAACGGTGGGACGGACGTGCAGTTCAGTTTTTGGGCACGCATACGGTGCTGCAGGGATTTTTAGGTGTACCTCTTCGGGCTCTTGCATACCTTTTTCTCGTCAGATGTGTGCGTGTTCTTTAGATGCTCAGATGGCTCTAGCACTTTCGTGACCACGGGCTGAGAGTCTTTTGCTAGATTTTGGCATTTAGCAACTGACATACGGTTTAATGTGAAGACAAACAACAACAACAACATATCTCACCTGTGAGGTGTGCACGTGCACCAGAAAAGTTCTTGTGTGGCCGACAGCGTTCCACAGAAAAAAAAAAAGAAAAATATCGCCGCCACCGACGCGCCCACCCAAGACGACTACCAACAACGCCTACAACAGCAGTAGTGGTAGTGCCTACCTACACATACACAAGACGCAGTCGAGAAGATATGCAATAATAATCGCCCACAGGTGTAGCAGAACAAAACATTGGCTGCTGCTGCTGCTGCTGCTGCTGCTGCTGCTGCTGCTGCGTTTTGTGGCAGCTGTCTTGTAGGAAGCTCGGAACATTCTAGATCCAGAGTGCGGGAAGCAGCTTTCCGGTGGTTGAAGTCGGGATTTGAGAAAGGAGATTGGGTGCGGGACAACCCTACCTGCACCTCGCGCTATCCATGCTCGCCGATGTGTTAACATTCGTGCGTTTGCAGCATGCCCATGCATACGTACCACCCTATATCAACCGAAGAGGACAGTAAGACCAGTGCTTATGGCGGGCCCAAAAAATCTCAAATCTTGATTTGTTTTTGGGGGGGGGGGTTGATTTAACATTGGGATTCTTTTGTATTCCCCCTATGGAGAGTAATCCGAGAAACGAATCTCGCCGAGATTCGTCAAAAGCTCCAAAAAGCGCTTTTTGGAGCAATGTTCGGCGAATTTTGCTCTGGCCGCGGAGTCCACAGAATCTCGGCGAGGCGGCGGGTCCAGTTGCCCCGCCATTTCAAACACACGATACACCCACGCAACCCCATTGCGAGTTTCAGCATCAAAGCCGCCCTGGCCGCGGCAAGGGCCCTCCAGAGCACGAATCAGGCCATGAGCGCTAACCTTCGAGATGCGCTGGCGGGAGAGTCGGAGGATGGGTGGTCAGACGAGGAAGAGGAGGAGGAGGAAGATTTCGGCCCGTGTGACCGTGAAACGAGGGAGCGCCCGGACTACAGCTCGAGTGCATGGGGCGTACGACTGGCTAACTTGGAGAGCCTGCGGATCGCCGGCAGGCTCGTCCCCTCCAGCAGGGAAGCGAAGGCTTTCCGCTCGGACTTCAGGGTTCCGCACGAGTTTTTCCGGCACTTCGTCGACCTCGTCAGAACCGTCTTCCCGACTGCTACCCGCGACGTTGCCGGGCGCCAGTGTGTTCCCTTGGAGCTCAAGGTAGGTGCGCTTGACGCTGGTGATCGGTTAGAAGCAGCAGCAGTCGGGCCTTCTAGATCCCCACCATGTATGTGGGTTCTGTAGAGGTCGCAAAGCTTGGCGGTAATATGTTCCGTGCGCGTCTGCACGCTGTATCGGGTGGCACGTGTTGTTCGAAAAGATCGTTTACTCTCTCCGCAGCAGCCTCTTTCCGCTACGCCCGAGCAAAGGCGTGGGCGGAAGCCGTTGTCGGCAGCCTCTGCCTCTTCTAACTACTGCTTGCTGTATGTATTGTGCAGCAACCAAGGTTTTGCAAGGCGTGTTATTTTTGGGCCTATTTTTTTAGTGAGTTTCAACACATGCGGCAGCGGCTACCTGCCCTCTGCGTTAGCACGCGCCTGGCTACATACGAACCTGCCGCAAAGCTGGCATTTCTCTCTAGGGTAGCAGGGTAAGACCCTAGGTTACTGGTATTGTAGTAGCAGTGATACATGGCCTTGCTGTTGTAGATTATGTATCAGATCTACAGTGTATCCTTTAACAAGCAGTGAAGGGTTTCATGTCCCTTTCATGTTTCTTTCACGCCCCCCCGCCGAAATGCCAATGTGCCGTGCGTGGGTATTTATCCTCTGCTCCAGCAGATAGTCAAAAACGCGGTTTGCATCCGCTGTCCAACCGTGTTTTTTGTTCGGGCCGATTAGAAAAGGCGTGACGCAGCGGCGTTACGCCTGTGCTTACACACAGCTGTGACGTTCCAACAAGATGTAGTCACTTTGACTTGTGCACAACCTGAGACAGGCAGAGAACCCGCCGCGACCGGCAAAAGAACACGGCACCTTATTTCCTCATCTCAACACCTAGCCGAGCACCTTTTCCAAATATCTTCCCATGGGAGTCCATCGACGCGAATACCTAGGTGCCATGTGGCGGGGGGAAATGCTGGGGAAATGCTCGGAAAGCGCCGCGGCAGTAGCAGTAGTGGCTTGCGCAGGCGTGGCCGAAAATTGCCACTGCAGGAGTTTTTCGACACGTCTTCCCCCCTCACGATTGTCATGAATGACGGGCGGCATCTACGCAACACGCGAGAGCACTGATGTCGTAGCTGCCCCCACCCCTTCCTGTTAATTCCTTTCCTGTAGCTTTGGTGCGCGTGCGTCGTGAAACAGCAGCAGTATATGTACGATGATGCTGGCTCGCATCCGCGACCTTATTTCTGTGGTATGTTATTTGGGCCCGCCCGAGCACGTCACACCTGGTTAGGCTGGCATGTCAAAACATAACTGCGCTACCTTCCGCTCATATCGCAAGCAACCCTCTCCAATCTAAACACTCTGCCCTTCCTGTACTTCAAGCAGGTGCTGGGGGTGCTGCAAGTCTTGGGAAGAGGGAACTGCTTCGCGGATGTCGCTCAGCTCTCTCTCATGAGCCGGCAAACGGCGGAGAAATCGTTCCACCGGTTCTGCGACTGCTTCTCATCGGGGTTGTGGCATCAGTGGGTGACGCTGCCGGAGGGGGAGGTTCTCAAAAAGGTCGCGGGGGAGTACGGCGACATGGGATGTCCGGGGGCGGTGGCTTCGGTGGACTGCACCCACATTTCCTGGCCGGCCTGTCCTTTCTCGGAGACTAACACCCACAAGGGCAAGGAGGGTTATACGACCCTCGTGTACGAAGCGTCCTGCGACCACTCTGGTCGCATCCTCTCGTCAACGAAGGGGTTCCCTGGGGCTGAAAACGACAAGACCGTGGTGAAGCGCGACCTGTCCGTACTTCGAATGCGGGAGGAGGAGCCTTGGGCGAGCTACAAGTTCGTTCTCTTCGACCTGGAAGGCAACACTACGGAGCACACGGGAGGATGGCTGATCGTGGATGGGGGGTACCACCGGGTGAGTTCCGTGTGGGTGTCGTACATGGCGAGTGTGCAGACTACGAGGGAAATATGTACTGGTACGTAGGTAGGTCGATGCTCAGAAAGCGGCATAGGGTATCAACATTGACGGCGAAGGTGACAGCATTGTGCTTGGTGTGTCTTTTCAACGTCTTGTTGGCCGGTCTTGGAGGCCATTCGTTTGTTGTCCGGGAAATGCTGTTTGCTGGGATTGCGCTTAACACCAACCCCAATTTTCCATGAAGTGAAAACCCATCACCAGCAGTAATTGGTAGCCCGGTCCACCTCTGCCGCCGTTTTAGGCTTGATTCTCACTCGGAGGTGATGAAACGGGAACGTACATGCGCCCTTCATGTTGGAGCCGAAGATCTTGTTGTTGTAGGTATCATTCTTGTATTTATGTGAAGCTTCGCGCGCTAATCTCGAGTACTCTCCCGCGCTTACATACCGTAAATTGCTCTGTTTCCCCCCCGGGGCAGGGAAGTTTTTATTTGTGAAAGCACGCTCCGTAGGGGATATTTAAGCACCCGCATCCCGAGGGGGGAATTGTGTTTCTTCCTGGGGGGATTCTCATTAGAGGGGAGGGGGAACAAAGCAATTCACGGTACCCAACTCTGCTGCATTTCATTGTAATCTGTGCCTGGCTTTGCACGTACATCAACAGTGGCATGAAGATTGGTATCGTGGCCGGGTATTTCTGCAACGAGCCGTATATGGCTTGCATCGAAAAAAACGAGTTCTCGAGGTAGAGGTTTAGCAAAACACCCCCGACAGCAAGCCCCCCCCCCC